TATTCGCGGTTTTATGGAAAATTTGACTGTTATTTAACACAAATATTATGGTCTATTTCACCCACTAAATATTACCCGATGACCATCAAAATGGGAAGGCTTCTGCTCAACCGCAAGCTCTAGCCCCATGCTGATGTCCGCTTTGATTGGTCTGTAATTGCGACCTGTAGAGCAACTGCAAAATCAGGAAATTTTTCAGTTTTTGGTCCATTTCAACCCGTAAATACTATGCGATCATCTCCAAAAGAAATAAGGTTTTATTCTGGCCTTGACCCCACCTCCATTTTCAATTTCGCGACCTGTAGAGTGATTACAAATTAACATGGACAGACGGACGGACGAACATACATAACTAGATCGACTCAGCTCGGCGAGATAGGAAGATCCATATATACTTTCCTATATTTCGAGGTGTTACATAAGACATAATAAAAACTTATAATACCTCCCACACAAAGTGTGGTAGGGTATAAAAAATATAAAAATATAGAAGTACCTACTTAATCGAAACAAGTAAGCAGAGGCTACAGTCGAGCGGGGCCGACCGTTGAATACCCTACAACACTATAATAAACTACACAGTATATATAGGCAAGATACTCGAAAGAATTCCACAAGATATTGTGACAAATAATAAAAGAAAACCATCAGGTTTCGTTCTCTAATTTTCGAACAATAGCAACCTCAACTAATTTGCTCATTTCCAAATTATTAGTAGATGTTGCACTTAAATGGTCTTCCTAGATCTGGAACTAATATTTCCCAAAGACCTTTAATCTCTCAGAAGTGGCAAAAGATTAACATTTATTATTGGTTTTTGACTGAAACGCATCTACATGAGATACAGTCATTTGACTATATTCTTCAACGAAATCAGCGTTAACGAAATAGTCAGAAGTGCGTCTTTCCTGTGTTTGTGAATTCTCCAAAAAGTCACTGGAATGGACATTTTCGTATTTTGTCTACAAAAGTTGGCAAACTCCTTCAAACATTGAATATTTTTGGATGGCCATCCAAAACTGCTTGGCTTTTGCAATGTCCGGTAATCCCCATTCAAATGTGCATGAGGATCGGGCGATAATTATGACTTCCTGATAATTTTGCAGTTTTTTTGTCCATTTCAACCCCTAAATATATGGCGATCATCTCCAAAAAGAGTAGGCTTCTATTCTGACCCTCATCTTATCCCCATGCAAAATTTCGTAAGGATCGGGCCATAAATGCGATCTGTATATGATATCCTGATATCCTAACTACTTAGTTTTGTTAGCTGTAGAAATATTACCAAATGTTTAATTCAAAATGAAAATATGCCAAAAATATGACAAAATTGAAAAATTATGAGAAAATTTTACAAAATCCATATTTTTATCTTTAGAGAGATATTTTTATGCGATTTTTTTAAACGTTTTTTCTTTCCTGCCAAATGGCCATTCTGAATTAATGAGAACTGTCGAAATCAGTTCAGCCGTTCTCGACATATAAGAGATTTTTCAAGCATATCTTCTTTGATAGACATATATATCGCACATATTTTGCTATATATCCGTTTTGTTGGATGTTAACACCAATGTAAAGATCAGAAGTAACCTTGCCATGGCTTGGTGATTTCGCCGGGATTTAAAATATTCGCGGTTTAATGAAAAATTTTGAATTTTTTCAACACAAAAGATATGGTCTAGTTTACCCGCTAAATTTTATCCGATGACCACCCAAATTGGTAGGCTTCTTCCCCGCCTTAAACTCTATATACAAGCGAAGTTTCGCGTCGATTGGTCTATAATTTCGACCTGTATAGCTACTGCAAAATCCGACATTTTTTCGGTATTTGGTCCATTTCAACCCCTAAACATTTGGCGATCATCTCAAAAAGAAATAGGGCTCTGTTCTGGCCCAACCCCGACCTCCATTCCAAATTTCGTGAAGATCGGGCCATAATTGCGACCTGTAGAGTGATTACAAATTAACATGGACAGACGGACAGACGGACGGACGGACATACATAGCTAGATCGACTCAGCTCGGCGAGCTAGGAAGATCCATATATACTTTCCTATGTGGGAAATCAATATTTCGAGGTGTTACATAATTTTTGGCCCAATCAAACAACACATAGTGTTGTAGGGTATGCATAGGGTATGCAGGCATGCACAGAAATAGAAGCAATAATTCGATTTTGGTCTGGTGCAAAAATTGTCAAAAGGTCGAAATTTTCAAAAAATATTTTTTGCACAGAAAGAGAATCGATAATTCGTTATTGCTCCAACTTTGCAAATCCTAATGTTTGCATCAGAGGTACGATTCTAAAATGGATAATATCGGTCCACTCCACTAAGTGACCCCAACAAAGGGTAAAAATTTTGAATAATTATAATTCGTATAAAATGTGATGTAAGAATCCGAATGTCTTAAAATTTCACACTTCCCAATATTTTTATAAATCCAAGATCGCTGTATTCCATCTGAGCACCAGACCTTGGGCTAATAAAATTATTGGGATGTGTGAAATTTGAAGACAATCGGACTCTTACACCATTTTCGCACCTGACCTAGCACTGATGCAAATATTAGGATTCGTAAAGTTCAAGCAATATCGTATTGTCGTTTCTCTTTCTATGCAAAAAATATTTTTAGGAAATTTCGACCATTTGTGGGGGAGGTACCAGAAGGAGTACATCGATACATTCCATTTTCACACCAGACCTTGGGTTAATAAAATTATTGGGATGTGGGAAGTTTAAAGACAATCGGGCTCTTACATCATATTTTATAAGAGTTGTAATTATTCAAAATGTTGACTCTTTGTTGGGGAGGTAGGTACTTGATGGAGTGGGCCGATATTGTCCATTTTCGCACCTGACCTGGCACTGATGAACATATTATCAGGTGCGACAACGGAAAATATCGGTCCACTCAATCAATTACCTTCCCCGAAAAGGCTCAATACTGCGAATAATTATAACACTTATAAAATGCAATGTAAGTGTACGATTGTCTTCTAAATAAACACTGGTATCTGTTGTGGATATGGATTGGTCCGTATACAGGGTGAGCTAAAACAAAGCCATTTTTTTTTTTTTAATTTTAATGATAGAAAGCCAAAAATAGCAGGAAATAGCATCAAATTTTAGAATAAGTTTCGATTTCTTCGAACACTTTCGTATTTTTTAGTGCCAACCTTGCTTTCCAAAATACTCCAGGCAAAATAGTCCAATGGATTGATATCCGGAGATTTTGGTGGCCATTGTGCGCTGCAAATAAAGCGAGGAGCTTTTTTTGTAACCAAAATATTTGCGTACCTAATAAATTTTCGTGATAAAATTTGGCATTTATTCTGATGCCACGGTCGATTAATATGAGCGGAAAGCGACCATCAACTGGTATGGCGGCCCCCACCATCACCATGGCCGGCGCTTGAGATCTGTGTCCAACTGAAGGTGCACATTTACAAAATGCTTTACAACGAATGTTTCCTCATCGAAAAAACCAAAATCGGCAGTTCACCACTTTCAGGCAAACGAATCAACTCTTTAGCTCTTTTGAGTCTATTTTCTTTCTGTTGCGGTGTAAGTTCTTGCATTTTTTGCATTCAATGGCTTTAACCCGAGCTCACTTTTTAATATTTGCCGAATAGAATATTGCGATATGTTCAGCTCACGAGCCATTTTTCGGTCACTGCGACGCGAGTTTCGATCAAGTCGCTTCTTTACTTTTCGAACCATTTCTGCTGTGGTTGCTGTTTTCTTCCGCCCACTTCCTTGACGTCGGGCTACTCTACCACTATCACGGTAACGAGCGATGTTACGAGACACACACTCTCATGCTTGAATTTCATCACGAATAACTTTTTTTCTGGAAAATTCTCACCAAATGCTTGTGTACGCTTGTAAACAATATAATAAGCTGTCACTGGAACAATTTTAACAGCTGTCGGACAAGTGGCATAGAAATGACAGCAGTCTGAATGTGGTTGCAGTTTTTATACCCTGCACCTTGGAAAGGAGGGTATATTAACTTTGTCATTCCGTTTGTAAAATCCTTAAATATTTGCCGTAGACCCCATAAGTCTAAGTCGGTTTAACGATTTCCGTCTGTCTGTCTGTCCGTCTGTTGAAATCACAATGCAGCCCACATTATTTGACGTAGAGCGCCAAAATTTAGCAGAGCAATTTGTATTGTGTCTAGGATGGTTGGTAAATGAGATATATCGGCCAAAGTTCTGGTATAGTCCCCATATAACTGTACCTCCCGATATTCGGTATTTTGATGATTTATTTCACATTTTTTTACGGATTTATCTGAAAATTGGTATTTGTAGATCATAATGGGTCCCACTTCGTGTGGCGAGTCATTGTAATTATAGGTCCACGATTTGGTATTGCCCCCATATAACGGTACCTCCCGATATTCGGCATTTTAATGGTTTTTGCCACATTTCTTATAATGTTTCCTGTACCCTAAGGTGGGGAATATTAAAAGTTTGGCACGGCCGAACTTAATGTTTTTTTACTTGTTTCATCTCACCCTGTGTATACGAAAAAAATAGACTTTGATAAATTTGTCAAAGCACGCTAGAGGAATATTGTTAGGTTCGCATCGTATTGCCCATAAATTATTTTAATGTTTGCTAAAATTTTCAATGGGAAATAAGACACCCAAATCCCTTTATATAATATCTAAGCTTTCCAACCATTTGACATCCTCATCCGCCCCACTAAAACCAACAACAAAAAAACATTACGAACGGTAGCCCTTCGAAAGCCAATGGCTATTATTATTATTATTTTTGTACACAATGGCGAATTTTATTGATGTGGACAAAATGATTTACAAATGTATTCGAAATGGCCACAAAAAAATGCAATTAATTAAAACTCATTTAAAAATGTAACGCACACACACACACAAACAACAATAATAATTATAAAAATAATTATTAATCATTTATGAATAAATTAATAACCGTCATATTTTTTGCATTTTTTTTTTTTTCTTTACAGAAGTCCAAATGGAAATGTAACAAAGCGACAGCCGCTTTAGCCACAATTCTGAATTGAAAATAAAATGCCAACAATTTTGAAAAATTATATAGAAGTCAAAGTTTCGTTTGTGGCCTTTTGTGGAAAATTGTTCCAGCAACAAGGCAGTGGAGGGGAATTATAAAAATTCCAAAAATCAAAACAATAACTTGGAAAAGAACATCAAATTGAAATCGAATTGAATAATTATTTCAAATAATTTAACAAAATGAGAGGCAACATCAAAATGTCCCGAAATTGGATGGCCTTAATGGTCATTGGCTTATTGGCAAGCCAAATGACGGTGGCATTGAATATTGCAACAACAACAACAAGGACACCAACACCAGTGGCGAGTCAGATTCCTGAAGATGGCAATGGTGCGGCAACAGCAACACCTTCTCTAACAAGGTCTTCTTCTACTTCTTCGTTAAATGACAATGGAAAAGCAGATGATTTGCATTTTACACCGTCAACAGCTGGAACTTTGAGCAGCCATGAATCTGTTGTCATTGAAGCTAAGCAGGATGTTGCTCGCAGAACAACAGAGGCGTCAATACCCTCAACACCTCTGCAAAGTGCTTTGGCCGAGACCCATACCCCAACACTGGCATCCTCGAATGCTCCAGCAACAACCATTCTCAATGAAGGTGAACAATCAAGAACAACAACAACAACAACAACAATAAAAACCTTACGAAAGGTAACAACAATGGCTGGGCCACCAGAGAATGCTCAGCGGAAGGAGGACACGAACAAAGCGTCTTTAGAAGGAGCTGTTGCTTTAGCCGATGTCGATGTTGAAAAAGGCCAGCAACAAATCACGACAATGACAGAACAACAAACTATAATCAAGCAAAAGCAACCAGAAGAACAACAACAACAACATTATCAACCCCATGAAGAGCAACAAAAGCAACAAACATTAACAACGGAAGTGTCTATGCTAAAGGAAACGGAAGTGCAGCAACAAGTAAACGGAAATGCACAGACAACGACAGCGAATGTACACAACAATGTGATTACATTAAAAGCGACAGCAACAGATAACAATGGGGTGGGGGAGGATGAGAAGGTGATGGAGGAGAAGTTGGAGGTGGACAATAAATTTCCAACAACGACAACAAATCTACCATTTACAACAATTGCTGGTGTTGGAGGAGAAGAAGATGAAATGGCAGATAAAACGGAAATTGTCAACGATTCCCAGCAATTTAAAGCTGACACCAGCAGCAGCAGCTCCGGAAATATTCCACCATCATCTCTCAAGCCACAAGAGGAAAATTTAAATTTAGATGAATATTCGAGGTCCGGAGGAAATTTAAGGGATCTAAACAAGGATGAAGGCTCCACACCACCCCTTCCCTACCTTTCTTCTGTTGCGGAGAATCAAAAATCATTGGAAACTTCAAGAGAGGCGCAACACTCCTTGGATGGTCTGAAGCCTTTGTTTGAGGAGGCTAGAAATCTTAGATCTGTTGAAATTCCTGAATCTTTGAAAATTGCAAAACAACAACAATTTTCCCTGGGCAATTTGAAACAAGAGACTCCAGAGGCTAGGAACTCAAAATTCTCTTCTCCCTCAAATTCCGAAAAACCTGGATCCTTGGAAACTTCCAATGAACAGCGACTCTCCTCTCCCGAAGTTAGTTACTCAAAAGTCGCAGTAATTTCATCTTCGGAGAAACAGGACTCCTTGAAAACCTCCAGGGAAAATCAACCCTCCCTGATACAAGAGAGCTCTCTTCCCAGGCCATCACTCTCTTCCCCTCTCTCTTCCACAGACAGGCTGGACTATACGAAATCTTCAATTGAGCCAGAGCAAGAACTCTCGCCAAATAATTTAAAGCCTCAAAATCCAGAGACCAGTAACCCCAAATCTATTCCTACAACATCGGAAAATCAAGAATCCTTGAAAATCTTCGAAGGACAACAACTCTCCCTCGATGACTTTAAGCCCCTGATCCAGGAGGCCAACAATAAACTGCTGGCGGAGCGAACAATTTTTACTCCCAAAAATGTCATTGAAGAGCAGGAATGGAAACAAAATCTTATGCCCAACGAAGTTGAGGACTATGACCATCCGGAAAAACATAATGGTGAGCTGAAAAAATTCCATCAGGCACCCTATGAACACAACATCAATTGGAGTCCCTATTTGCATCCGGCCACCCCAGTGGCAGTGGATTTCACAGGGAAAGTATTGCAGGAGGAAGATGGTGTGATAACCGAAATAGAGGAGAAGTTCCGTCTCAAAGAGTTTGCCACAGACATTAATGACAAGAAGGACATGGAAGAGTTTACCACAATGGAGGCGGGAGAGCAGTCAGCCACAGCAACAACGACATCAAAGCCCTCCCAAGAAACTCCTGTACCAAGCACCCACAAACCCTATGCCACCCTCTTGGTGAATCATGAAAAATCTCCACCCAACACCCATCGTTCCCAGGACCTAGCTGCCGGAGCCCCGCATAATATGCGCATAATGAGGCCAGTGGAATTTATTGAGCGGCGGGTTAAGAAAAGTTTTGATTTTCCCATGCATCGTATAGCCAGCGATGCCGATCATGCCATGCAACACTTTGACTTTGCCAACACCAAATTCAGCAGCAATTTAAATGAACCCAAGCAACACTTAAACCCACCCATAGCCGGAGCCCAAGAAACACCATCTACAGGGGGAGGAGGGGCAGCAGTTTCCCTGGGTGCTGGCCCAAATCAAGGCCATGACATGAATGCCATGCATGTGCCCCGTCAACAGCCGGAATTCTCCACTACCAAGTTTTACAACAGCAAAGAACTTTACAATGAAATGTTGCAGCATAAAAACAAACAACAACAGCAACAACAACAACTGCATACGGAACCCGATTCCCTGAACATGTTAAAAGAAGAAGACATAGCTCCCGGAGCACGAGCCGGCTCATCTTTGACTTTGAATAGTTTTGCGGTTTTGCATTCACCGAAAATAGCCAAACTGGAGGAGATTCATGAACAGCCACAGAAAAGTTTGGCCATAAAGAGAGTCACCGTGCAACAGTCAGCCAGGCCACACAACAAGGATGAGATGGGGGAGGCAAGCAGTACTCCCAAAATAAATGTTGAATTACTGACAGCAACAACAACAGCGGCATCAGCATCAACAACAACAACGACAACCAAAAAGTTTCACAAGGAATTGAAAAAAGCCAAGTTGTTGATAAAAACCATGTTACCCAGCAGCAGCAGCAACAACAATAACAACAACAACGAGGATGCTACTCAAAAAACTGAAACAAGTAAATCCTCGACAGCAACACCTGAGGACCACAGCCCTGGAAAAACTAAACCAACCACAACATGGTCATCAGCAGCAGCAACAACAACGACAACTGCAATTCTTACAACTAATCCAACTACTTTGACCAGCTCAAGACCACAGGAGAGCAGATCAAATAATTTAACATCATCGTTGTCTTCTGCAACATCTTCTTCCACTTCCACACCAGCGGAACAATCATCCTCGGACCCAGCTTCATCCTCACCCTCAGTCCTGGTACCCTCCTACATTTATCCACCGCCCACATGGAGGCCTACTGCGTCACACTCAACAAATCCCACAAAATCCGCAATGAAACCCATTGTACGACCCCGCATCCTAAGTCGTTTGCAGGAGAAAATCAATTCGCTGGAATGTGAGATACCCAATGTACCGCAGGATTCACATTTGTGGCGTGGCAACGAAACGCATGAATTGCTGCTACCCATAATGGTAAGTGTCTGAGTGTGTGTGTGTGTGTGTGAGAGAGACTCAACTGCATAGGATTTATTTTGTAGTTGCACACAGTTGTATGTATGTGTGTGTCCGTGTGCAGAGAGTCTTATGGCTGAAACTACAGGGGTTATATTACACAAATGACATATGTTTTTTTTTCTTGCTTTCTTTCGATCGTTCTTTTTTCTTTCTCTCATTTGTACGAGCCCTCCTTAGCTGCACCATCATATGGTTTTTGGTTCTGCTATTGGTTTTGGGCTTTGTTCGACTTTTCTTTGATATTCCAGTCTTTTTTTCGCTTTCTTTATTTTTCTTCTCTTTTACCATTGATGATGTAATTCTTGCATGCAATTTCTCTCGACTTTATAATCACATTCTTTTTCATGCTCATGTTAAGATTAAATCTATAAGAGCTGCAAGGAAGACACCTTTAAGGTTCTTGTCATGAGCGTGACAAAGATTATAACCAAATAATCCCAATATCTTCATTGAATAAGGGGATTTTTTTCGAGCAAAGTTTCAAAAGCGTTTAAAAAAATATCGTCGAAATTTCACAGTCAAACACGTAAAATAGCAGCTAAGTTCAGCCGGGACGGACTTTTAATATCCGCTACCATTTGGTAGGAACTTGAAAAATTTCAAAAAAAAAAAAAAAATAAATAAATAAAAACAGCTAAGATCAGCTGGGCCGAACTCTTAATACCCTCCACCATTAGGAACGAATTTGGCAACTTTCAAAAAAAAAGAAAAAGAATTAAAGTCGGGCGGGACCGACTTTATGATACCCTACACCATCTTGTATATTTAGTAGAGCTTCACATAACAAATAAAAGTTTTAATGGGGAATTTGTGAGAATTAAATCACACCAACTATAATTATAGTATACAGATGAAAAGTCCAGAGGAACTAATATATGGGAGGAATATCCTCCACTGAATCGATTTCTACTAAATTTATCGAGGTATTTGCGCCTTTTCAATTCGGCCCTGTATTATCCATTTGGTGCACAATTAACTTGAAATCGTATATATATATATATATATATATATATATATATATATATATATATATATATATATATATATATATATATATATATATATATATATATATATATATATATATATATATATATATATATATATATATATATATGCTATGTCCAAATCTGAACCGATCTTGTTAGAATTTGGCAAAGATATATCGTTGTTACGGAGTCCATATTACGGCTATGCAGGTTACGCCTATACAACAAATCGGATGAACAATATATATTGGAGCTTTAGCTACATCTGAAGCGATCTTCCCGAAATTTGACATATTAGCTACCAGACTCAATTCGGTTGTAAGTGCCAAATTTCATCCAATTTGGCCAAATATTAGATGTTTGGTGCACAATAAAAGGTAAATCGGACGAAGTTATATATGGGAGCTATATCCAAATCTGAACCGATTTTGATAGAATTTAGCAAAAGTATTTTTGAGCTGCATTTGATATATTTCCTCAAATATTGTTGTTACAGAGTGCATATTACGGCTGCGGAGGACAAAAATAACAAATCGGACGAACAATATATATGGAAGCTCTAGCTATATCTTAACCGATTTCGATCAAATTTGGCATACTTATTTTCAGGCCTAATTTGGTTGTATGTGCAAAATTCCATACTATTCGGTCTGATAGTACACGTTTGGTGCACAATAAAATGCAAATCGGACGAAGATATGTATGAAAGCTATATCTAAATTTTGACCGACTATCTCCAATTTCAATGGGGTTCGTCCTTGGGCCAAATAAAAGATCTGTGCAAAATTTCATCTGGATAGGGAAATAAATGCAAACTGTACTTTGTTTACAAAAATACATGGACAGACGGACAGACGGACGGACAGACGGACGGACGGACATGCATAAATCGACTCAGAATATGATTCTATGCAGATCATCAAAAGGAACTATGGGTCTATCTCGTTTCCTTCTGCCTGTTACAAACAAATGCACAAAGACATAATACCCTGACCACCTTGTGGTGTAGGGTATAAAAATAGATAATATTCTAACAGCACCTACTGGCATAATAAAATTAAAATAAACCCGAGAAAGCGAGAAATCGGAGACAACAAAAATTGAAAAAAATCACGAAAGTACGAAAACGAAGTTATATAAAATTTATATACATTGTTACAAGTCTCATCAGATTTTGTGGTCAATAGCGAGATTTTCTTTCAGTGTTCTTTTAAGCCTTTTGCCCCCACATGCTAACATGCTAACAACACCCCAAACCACTACCACAACACACCACTCCACGCGGTGACCTATTGGTCCATTTTGTTCATCCTAATTTACGTACCAAGTGACGCAAATTTCCTATTTTTTAATTATTCATGGCGGCATCCCAACAAAAAACCTGGTATAATTTTTAGCTCCATAGCAACAGTTCATTGCCTTTAAAATCGTATCATAGCCGTGTAACACGAATTTCAAATAAACCAACTAAACTGTGTAATTCATTAAGTTCAGTAGTTCAATCCTTTAAATTATGAAATTTAAAATAATGCAGTCTATTCGTAATTCCCCCAAAACACACCCTTTTCCGCTACATTCTATCTATAGACATTTCCGACAACTTGGATTGCTGCAAATTTCCTCCATGCTTCTGTTCTTCTTCAATTACCCCACTATTACAATTCTGAAGCCAATCTTTTACGATTACTGCAGCCACATTATTCTTTTCTACTTGTTTTCTAGTCATCAGATCTCCCCTTAGCTCATCTTGTTTTTCACCCCCCAAACAGATAATGAAGTCCATCTGAAAGAAACTAAAGAAAAAAACCGGAGAAGATGAAAGTGAATCTTGTTTTTTCACAGCAATTTTTCTTTTCATTTTCATTGGCATCTTTGTTAAATGGGGCTAATATCGCATTTAATCTAAATTATCTTAAATATATTTCTTTCATCTCTTTGCACTCTATATATATAGGGAGGGGAATTACAGAGATTATTTAGGGTTTCTTTTCGTGGAGAAAACTCAAAAAAAAAAAAATGGAAAGGAGAATACAGTTAAAGATTCACCAAAAGAGGATTGTTATGGGCCAACCATTTTTTAATCAAAGCCTAATAATGACGGCAGTGTTTGATTTTTGGATTTTATCTGAGTTTTTAGTTGGAAATGTTCCAAGCAATGATTGCGGGAAAAATGAAATCACACTTTTGAGGTTTTATTTCCCCATTGCTGTTGTTGTCGGTTTTGATAAAATGAAATGAAATATATATGGATGGTGTATGTACATCTTTCTGGCTCAGTAGACACACTTTTTTAACGATTTTTTAAGAGCACTCAATTCTCTTTGTATTTTAGATTTACAATTTACAAATTGTGCAATGTTACATTTGCATGGTGATTTATTTTTTTTTGGGGAAAAAAATTAAATTAACAGTTAAAAAGAAAAGATTCAACGAAGTCAAAAAATGGTGTTATAACTCTAGGTTTTCAAGGGAAGCACAATATATTACATCATTTTAAAGTTTTTGTTAGCATTCACAATAAGGAGAGACATTTTCGGAGAACATTTCAATGGTCAAACTCACTGTTTTTAGCTTCTGATCTATGAGTAGGCATTATAGTGAGTAATAAAAAAATTATTATTATTTTTATACCATTCACCATAGTATGGAGGGTATATTAAGTTTGTCATTCTGTTTGTAACACCTCGAAATATACATTTTAGAATACTTTATATTCTTGATCAGCATAAAATCCTATGTCGATTTAGCGATGTCCGTCCGCCTGGCTGTCTGAGGAAATCACTCTAGCTTCCGAACGAAATGAAGTAGGTTGATAAAATTTTACTCGAATGTATATTATATCTGCAGGACTTTTGGTATTGAAAATGGGTCATGTAGGTCCACGATTTGGTATAGCCCCCATATAACGGTACCCCCAATTTTCGGTACTTTGGTGGTTTAAGTGACATTATTCACCAGAAATGTTTCAAATTTGGTATTTGAAGTTCGTAATAGATAACCACAGCCTAAGACAGAAAATCGTCTGTGCAGGTCCACGTCTTTGTATAGCCCCCATATAATGGTACCTCCCGATATTCAATTTTTTGATGATTTTAGCGACATTATTTAACGGAATTGTTTCAAATTTGGTATTTGAAGTTCGTAATGAATACTACAGTCTATGACAGAAAATAGTATGTGCAGATCCTCGTCTTCGTATAGTACCATATAATGGTACCTCCCGTATTCGGTATTTTGGTGATTTTCGCGTCTTAATTACCGGAATTGTTTAAAATTTCGTATTTAGAGTTCGTGATATTAACTACAGTCTGTGTCAGAAAATTGTCTATGCAGGTAGGTCTTCGTATAGGTTCCATATATCAGTACTTCCCTATATTCGGTATTTTTCTAGTTTAGGTACAATACCTACCGAAATTGTTTGAGATGTTCTATTTGAAGTTCGTAATTGATGCTACAGCCTGTGACAGAAAATTGTCTATGCAGGTCCAGATCTTCGCACAGCTCCGATATAGAGGTACCTCCCTATGTAGGATATTTTAATGATTTTAGCTACATTATACACCGTTTACATCAAGTTTCGAATTTGAATATGGCAATAGCTTATCACAAACAATGCCTATGTAGGTCCACGTCGTATAGAAAATTGAAAATTTCTGACTTCGTTCCAAATGGTGGAGGGTATTCAAAGTTCGGCCCGGCCGAATCTACTGCCTTTTAACTTGTTTGCCTTAAAAATTAATAGGACATTTTTCGAAGACCCTTTAAAGGATAGAACCCATTTCTTTTTTCTTCTGGTTTATGAGTAGACATTACAGGGTGAGATAAAAAAAAAACTGCAACAAGTCAAACGCCATAATTTTTACAATTTTATACCCTACACCACAAGGTGGTCAGTGTATTATGTCTTTGTACATTTGTTTGTAACAGACAAAAGGAAACGAGATAGACCAGTAGTTCCTTTTGATGATC